ATAGAGCTTTCTTCTCTCTCTCCCTAGGATCCTGAAATTCTGAAAAATCTATAAATCCCAAATTTAGGAGGTAATCAATAAAGAACTGCTTACAGAAACGGGCCAGTCTATGTGAAAGCAGGGGTATAGATGGGTAGGACCTGCAGCTCAAAGCAATCCATCTGGAAGCCTCTGCATGGCAATAAATGCCTCAATAGTTGGCAAGAGAATACAATGAAGACCAATAATCAAATGGACAGATTGAATCAACAAAGATGCTGCAGAGCTGTTCTCTGTGAACTGGAAAGCAGTCTTAAAATAGGCAAAGGTAGAAAAGACTGGTTCAGGTGGTCCAAAATTTACTAGGCGTGTAAAGTAAAAAAAAAAATAGTTGTAGCCCAAAAAAAAAAAATGTATGGTATTATTTACATTTTTATGAAGTTAAGTGGGTTATATGATTTCATATTCACTTATACTTCCCTTTGGTGGCATATTATGTTTTTAAGATTTATAAAATGCAGATGACTTTTTAATTAAGAGGTTTTATTTATTTTTCTTTTTAAATGTTTAGCTAAATATTTAGTACATTTAAGCAATGATTTTCATATCAAGAAATTTATATTTTATGATGTCTTCTATTGTAGTAGAGGCCTCAACCACAGTACATTCAACTGTAATAAGATTTGTAAACTTGGCCTAATATGTCATCATGTTACAATGGGTCTTAGTTTTTATTTTACTAAATTATGGTCCAATAATTAATTTTTATATTATTAGTTTTGTAGCGTTAGGTTGTATCAATATATAAGTGAAGTGAAATAGTTTTAAGTTGCAGTTTGTGCCTTTTTATTTCTAAACTTTTTTATGTTTTATGTTGTTATTTCAAAAATTAACTTCTTAGTTGATGCCATCAATAATTTACTATAAATTTATTGCAAAAGAGTTGATATCAGCTTGATGAATGTTTGATTTAGTATGCGGAATGGTAATATGTATCTGGCTGTTTTAGGACCTGCGGTTTCCTATTTTTTTTGTATAATTTTCCTGGTATTATCATTTAATAATATTTCATTCTTATTTTATTATTACAATTTATTGTTAGCACTGATAGTGTATGAATTTTCTACTGTTTTACTCAAATGCACAAACGCTTCTTCGCATGCAGTACATTTTAAAGAACAATTTTATCATGTAGTTGTATATAGACTAATAAGTGTTTTGCATGTATGGTTATATTTTGCATGTTTTTTTTTCTATATATTTATTTTCTTACAATCAAAATGAATATATTTTGTGTTTTTCATTTAATATTATTTCTAAATTGTATATTGAATTTAATCCTGTTCTTGGTGATTATTAAATGGTATTTATAAAAGCTTTCTGTTTGTTTGGATTTCACTATTTCAGAACTCTATCATTGATTATTATTGGTTTTGAAATTTACAATTTCCTTAAATGATGTGATAAATTGATCTATCTGCATTAATTAAATGTTTGTTAATGTTTTTATTATTATTATGTGTGTATATAAGTATTCTAATGCTTATCAGGTGATTTTGACAAAAAACATTATTTTTATAATTTATTAATTATTGTTCATTTACAGTTTTAAATTACAATTCTTATTGGAGGCCTATTGGTTTAAACAATGATAATACTCCTGTTCATTTCACAATACACATTTTTTTTTTTGTGGCAAAAATCACTGGTCACTCTCACAATATACATAAAATAAAATTCTAAATTCTGCAAAGACCCTTTTTGACATTTTTATTCATTGTTATTTGCAAATAATTTAACCTTTACACTGAGAAAGCTCTGATAACTGTTTATAGACAAACCACTTAAATAAGAGTTCTTCACAGTGAACTTACTCTTGTTTATGGATCTTCTTCCTTTATACAGTTGTGGCCATGCAGAGAAAGTTCTAGAAGCTGTAATGCAATTTTGGTTTCAAATGTAAAATCTTCTTTGTCAAAGCTATCTAGATTTTTGTACATCAAATATTTTTATAGCTTTTGAAATATTAAAGCCTAATACTATTGAATTCAATTCTATAAGTTAAAATAAATTTCTCTAAATTCTTTAGATATCCATAGGTATATTACTAGTCTTCCTTCCAGTTAATCATCAAATTCTTTCATATTGGTCTGTTATGTATAACAATAAGAGGCATTTAATTAGTTCTAATGAACAAAATTGGAGATGCTTTAGAAGAATAAATTTTGAAAATTAAGCATTTGATGAGCCCTGTCAGATTATTTCAATAAGAATGAAACGTAACTGATGTTAAAGGCCATTCAATTTTACAGCAATTTAATCAAAATTATTAGATCCATTTTCGAAAAAAATGTAATGATATAAAGTGTTATTTCCGGCATCCATTTTAGCGAAAGAGGTACTTTAACATCCCAGACATACCTAATTTAAATACATAATTTCAGCATCATATATCTTTTCATTTTCGAGCTATTTTGTTCACACATTCATATACCCAGACCTTTATGTAAGATTTGATTACTTAGGCTCAGGCCACCTTAAAACGTGCGTTTCTTCTTACTACATATTTTATATTTGGGTAAATTGAAGTAATAAATGTTACAAATAATCACATTTCAGTAAATGTAGGTAAAACCATACAAATATGTATATGTATTTACAAAGATAAGCATGGAAATACCCAGCATTTGCCACAAACCAAGGAATTGGTTCTTAAAGTATCAGTGGGAGGCCACCACTATTTAAATATCCAATCTCTTTGGAGCCAATTTGTTAGTGGTCTTCGCGCCAACATACATTCAACATACAATGTCTTACAATTATAATACCTAAAAATTGCAGGTCAGCTTTCCTCAAAGTTGACAAAAGCTCTAGATTGTTATTTCTAATATCCTAGAAAAACTGCATCTCAGTTTCCCATTAAGATGCATAGGGTATGAAATGCCTCTGGTTGCCTGACAGGTTTCACTTATCTAGTGGAGGAAATTTGTACTTGGTCATCCTTGGAAAGTGATCAATGACTTTCGGCTGTAATCGGTACATATACTTATCATGCTTGAAAGGGCTTAGTTTTGAGTACCTGTTTTACACATCTTAGTCTTTTTTGGTCACCAGTGCCCTCTATACAAAAACACACAATTGCTTTTCTTTTCAATGATAAATAACATAGAATTATTATACTGGGTGTCCTGTAAGTAGTGGGAAGTATTTATAGGACTGATAGCAGACCTCAAAGATACAAAACGGTTCATATAAACAATGGCCCAACTGTCAATAGAAAAGTAGGAAATCCAAGTTTTGTGTTTTTTTAACTAAGTCATGTTTTTTGTACAATTAAATATTTCTTTAGTTAAACATTTCTTCAAATGAAATTAGAGTTTGTCATGGTTTAAACCATGTAAAGATAATTTTTGAGCGACTAAACTGAGCTAAATTCTGTTTTTAAAAAATCATGAATTATTCACGATTTTTTTTTTTTTTTTTATCATTATACAACTATACTACAAATATCCCACTTTTACAAAAACTTCATTGATCCGTATATATAAATGACAAACTAAATGTTTCTAGTCCTAAAATTTATATTTTCAAGGAAATAATCAGCAGGTTTCTTCATTATAAACGTAAAATTTAGGGTTAGAAACATTTAGTTTGTCACTTATAAATACGGATCAATTCCCATTATAAAGATCCTGGTGAAAAACCACAATTTCATAACCATTTTACTAGAAAAAAATTGAAAAATAATTATTAAAAAAAAATTAAATAAAAATTGTATTTAGGCAATTATGTTTATTATAACACATCCCCTGTCATGGAAAAACAAGAAATTAAAGCATTTCATTTGTATATTGTCCTCATTTTTTCTTAAAACACTGGTACTTTTATGTGACAGAATAAATAATCACATCATTTTTATACATAACTTGAGACGTATCTCAAGTTTTTGCTCCGTAAAATTCAACTTTATTAATATGAACTTAAAACTTATTAAACTAGGAAGTTTTGGTAAAAGTAGAATTATGTAGTGTAGTTGGACAATGATAAAAACAAAATCATGAATAATTTATGATTTTTTTAAAATACAGAATTCAGCTTAGTTTAGCAGCTCAAAAGTTACCTTTAAATGGTTTAAACTATGGCGAACTTTATTATCATTTGAAGTAAATTTTGCCCAGTTAAAAAATAATGTTATATACTTAAAGTTATCACTCCCTATTCAACACAAAACATGGCTTTCTTAAAAACTCAAAACTTAGATTTCCTACTTTTCTGCTGATAATTGGCCCATTGTTTATATGAGCTTTTTTGTATCTCTTGAGATCTGCTATAACTCCTATGAATATTTCCCTCTAGTTACGGGAAACCGTAATATACTATATAATAAAATATATACCTATGCTATGAACACATTGACTGTCATGAAACTTTTCAGAATTCCAATATAAAAAGCCAGTTTCATTTATTAATATTGTTGTATAAATTCTCATTATTTTATATTATAAATTATAATACATCAACAGTAGAACGAGAAAACATTGTAAATCTGAAAAACCCGTAATTCTGTTAATAATAAAAATTGGAACTGTGAACTGCTTTTAGTGTCTTAGAAATAACTTGTAAGTTTGTTACCTTCCTCATATATTGCCTAGTTTTTTGTGGCTTCTCTGATATATAAAATAGACATGCTAGTTATTCTCGTACTACAATTGGTATATTATAATAATAGAATATATATTATTGTAACAGAAATTCTTTTTTTTTTTCTTTTATTTTTAGAAAAAAAGACATTATGAATTATTTCCTGGTTGTCTTATGTAACAGAAAGCTATTTGCTAGAGCTAACTATGAGTTAGGTTGTGTATGTTATTATGAGTTAACTTTTAGCTTTGACATTAGGCAATAACATGAACTACAAGTTATCTCGTAGTTGGCAGTCAAATTTTAAACTTTGTATTTCTTTTTAAATGATTGTGATGATGATAGTTGTTTAGTTTTATTACTCATTTTTCGTTTCACAGTTTCAGCAGGTAGTAATGTAATACCAGATTCAATACAAAGATGTCATTCTTTAACAAGACAGCTAGAGAAAAATCAGACGAAAATGACTAATCAGCTACAAAGAGTTGCTCAAAAGCTCGCTAATTTCTCTTCCATGGTAAATATTCTCTTATTTGTAGTAATATATATTATTTATACTCTGTGTTGTAAAATTGTTCATTGAATTTTTAATTAAATTATTTAGCTCAGTACTACGAAGTGAATTCCTGATAGTATTATTTTTATATTTGTTTGGTATCCATAGAAGATGCTGGTTATATAATCTAGGAGACTAGTAATATATAATGAAAATAAATATACTTTTCTTAGGACTGATGCTTCTAAAGAATAATTTGGAGGAAGATGATTTATCATCCAAAATAGGTTGTCCTCAATCATTTAACATGACATATTTTCTTATTACATATATAAATAGTAATATTAATAGTAACAACATCTATAGTGCATTAGCAGGATGTTTACTAGTCGGAAATTCCATACAATTAGGAAAAGTCGGGAATTTCCTGTAAATTTTGTAAGAGTTGTTAAAGTTATCATTAGCTCTAAACTTTAATGTTTTCTTTTGATTTTCTTTAACTGTTTAGTTAATTTTTCCAACTTATAGGTATTTTATTATAATTTTAGCTTTTCATAATTTTATTTTTATAAGGACAATTGCATTTAGATTTAATTAATACCTAATTATTGCAATAGTGCCTTAAAATTGTAAGCACATTCCCACACAAAAACATCCATAAAGGTACCTGGACATCGCCTGATGGGCTCACAGTCAACCAGATTGACCATATCCTCGTAAGCAACAGGCACGTTAGTAGCATCACTGATGTCAGAGTGTTCAGAGGCGCTAATGTTGATTCTGACCATTTCCTCAGTATCATTCAGGTTGCTTCAATAATTTCTGATAACCCACCCAGAGTCCGGGCAGAAGAAAAAAATTTTAAAATCGACAAGTTTAAAGACCCTCAGATTAGGGAGGCTTATGCTGCAGCAGTGGATTCACAGTTAAAATGCATGGAGGACCCGGAAGACAGTGTAGGTGGCATTTGGAATAACTGTTGCAAAACTATCGAACAAATCGCTGATACCATCCTGGGGCATGCTGAAAAGGAAAACAGGAAAATAGCTACAGAAGTTAAAAATGCAGCATTCCAGCCGATGGTCAACAAGCACACACGCGGTACAGTCGAAGACTATACGAAGAAAACAAGGGAAGATAAGAGGCTGCATCGGAGAAATAAGAGAGAAGGAATTATCCAGGAGTTGAAGGACATGGAGGAATCAAGGACCATTGGAGATAGCAGAAAGTTCTATCATAAAGTTAATAGCACTAGGAGACCATTCAAACAAATACCTTCAATGTGTATGGATGACCAGGGAGCTCTCCTATCCGAGGAACAAGCCCGCCTAGCAGAATGGAGAAAGTATTTCAAGGAGCTTTTGAATGGTCAAAGCATAGATAGCCAAGGGACGGAACTGTCCTTCGGTCAAGATGGATGACCTGGAAACACCTGATGAAGATAAGGTCAGTGAGGCCCTCAACAAACTAAAAAATTACATTACGCCAGTTCAACATCCCCTCCAAGCTTATCAGGCTGACCAAGTTAACAATGGACGAGGTGGTGGTGTGTTGTTCAAATGAAGGCCAACGTACCGAAGGAATTTTCTACTAGAAGGGGTGTAAGACAGGGTGATGCCCTGGCATGCCTCCTCTTTCTCTTTGCCCTAGAAAAAGCAGAGTTTGAATCCCAAATACAAACATCTGGCACGATCTTCAATAGGACTGTTCAGCTCCTCGCTTTTGCCGACGATATAAACATTATTTGGCGCTCTCGGCAAGCGGTCGCACAATCATTTCTGGACCTGGAAGCTGCAGCGAGCTGAAACTCGGTCTGACTGTCAACGAGGAAAAAACGAAATACTTGGTAACCTAGGAGACCCCAGGAAATGGCACTAGGGTGAGTTTTGGACCCTTCAGGTTTGAACAGGTATCAGAATTCACATACCTGGGCTCGCAGATGACTGTTAATAACCAGATGGATACAGAGATAAATAAAAGAATTTTGCTGGCCAACCATTGCTATTATGGTATGAGTCAACACATGAAAAGCACCCTGGTGACTGAGCGTAGCAAAGTAATTCTCTACAAGACTCTTATCAGACCGGTTTTAAGTTATGCAGCAGAAACCTGGACGATAACCAAGGTAGCCGAGCAGGACCTCCTAATATTTGAACGAAAGATTCTAAAAAGAACTTACGGTCCATTATGTGTGAATGGAGAATGAGGAAAAACCAAGATCTCTACCATCGCTTTAATGAGACCAATATTGTCAATTTTATAAGAGCAGGCCGTCTCAGATGGGTAGGTCATGTGGCCAGAATGAGAGACGACATGATCCCAAAGAAGGTTTTGGTTGAAATCCTGCATGGAGCCCGACGAGTAGGAAGACCAAAGTTAAGATGTAGGGACAGCGTGGACAAAGACGCCAGGAAGCTAGGAGTTCGAGACTGGATGGTGGCAGCACAAAACAGGGACACCTGGCGGATGGCGGAGGCCATGACTCACTAAGCGGGCTGTAGAGCCAGTATAGATAGATAGGTAGATTACAATAGTAATTAAAAGTTCTCTTATGGGCAGTTACAGACATATGTACTGCTACTATACTTATTTTTATCAGTCTTGTTAATTGCAGAATTTTTTTAGAAATCTATTTAATTTCCTTTTTCTGTTTTATTTAAGGAGTAGTTATGGTAGGTTCCTTTTTTTTTTTTTTTGTTTTAACTGTTAAAATGAAATAAAATAAAACCATTAATCCTTAATAGTAGCATTAAAATGGAAATTTCTAACGGTCAGTTGATGAATCTCAGTGCCACAAAAATTGATTGTCTATCTAATCTCTCTGTCAACTGTAGAAATGGTAAATATCGACATTTTTCAAATGTATTAAAATAGTAAATTATATTATAACAAGAATATATCAATATTTCGGCCCTCAATATTTTTAATTTTTGAAAAGAGTTAGGTAGGATGTTAACATCAAACTATGATGTACATAAATTATTGAAGGAAGTTAGTAGACCGTTCTACATATCATGGGTGATAAATATTCAGGACGCAGTCTTTTTTTTTTAATTTAATTTTTTATTTATGCCAACGTTCCTACCCAAACATGTGGGTGGGTCATCTTCAGGGCTGAAAATTTTTAAACTACAATCAGAGATATAATCTTATAGGACGACCGATAATGGTAAATAATAAACTATAGTGATTGATGGTACATGAATCTTAACTAATATTGCAATACACATATTAAAAATGAAATATGTAAATAGTTATTCAAGATAAATGGACTAGAGCATGTGATATGGAATACAATATTTGATTGTTGTAGGAGATAAACAGGATCTTTGAGTTTGGTGTATAGATTTCTTAATTTACTGTTATTTTTGAAAACTATTTGTAGATGGGGAAATTTTGAAGTTATAGCTTTTTTGAGACAGGACAGGGATATATGAAATGGATCTGTATTGGCGAATCGTGGTGGAGCAGTTTCTGGGAGACTGGTGAAGATGGGGTTTGGATTGATTTTTGATCAGGTTTTTTTATAATGTGATCAGGAAAGGTGTTGGATTTCAGGATCTTGTGTAGTTTGGTTAGGTTGTTGTCGTGGAATTGCGGGTCGGTTAATGTTAGACTGCAATGTATTAGGTTTTTAGCTACCCTGATTTTCTGATGGTAAGGGTGTTGGGAAAAATAGTTTAGAAGACGGACAGAGCAGGTAGGTTTGGTGTACCAATTGGTAGATAAAGTATTATCATTATTTCTGAAAATGAGGAGATCAAGAAATGGGAGGGAATTATTTGATTCTATTTCAATGGTAAAACGGAGTCGAGGGTGGTATGAGTTGAATGCAGAAAGTATGTTTGGAATAGGATAGGAGTTGAGAATTAATAATTTTTTTTTAAAAAAAGACTGCGTCCTTAATATTTATCACCAATGATGTAGATACATTTATTATCGGTTAGATTAGATTATATTCTTGAAATCATTTATTAAAAAATTATCTCTGCCAATAAATGCAATTTTTTTATTTTCTTATATTTGTATGCCAAAAAAATGTGTTTTGGCTTTGTTAAATAAGTTAAAAAGTTAGTATTACAGATGACGTTTCTACCGTTTTTAGTTTTAAAGAGGCTGCTTTGGTGTTTTTATTTATATGCCAAAGAGATGCTGTTCAATTTTCATTGGGTTTTTTACCAACTTTCATATCATAAATATTTATTTGTTTTTTATAAGGGTTCTAATATTGTTTTTCAAAACCATATTTTATGATTTAAAATATAATTTGATAAAAATAATTTTTATAAAATATATAATTCATTTCTTTATAGATCATAGGAATACAGACCAATTTAACTAAAGTTGAGAGGAAATTAGACGAATTGCCTTCACCACAGATGGGTCCAGAAGATATGTTCGAAAGAATTGGAGTAGCAATCGCAGCATTTAAAGCGGAACTTATGGACATGCAAACTAAAGCGTCCAATATAGTTAATGAGCAATCTGAAATTAAGAAGATGGTCGATAATCTGACTGGAAATGTCTCTTCATTCAATGTAAATTATTCAATTTATTTCACAAACACTTATTTTCAATCTTTAAGTGAATTTCTAAGAAAATGTAATTATTCTACTGAAAAAACATTTATTTATTATTTTTTACCACATTAAAAAAATATGTAATATACTTATTTTTTTACTAATGTGACCTGTTTGTGATTGGCAAACAATCTTTATCCCTGTCCCTTATTTTTTAGCTCTCTCTGAACATTGTAAATATTTACAAATTCAAGATTGTTTATTATCAGTTTTAAATCTCCACGTACAAATAAATATAAATACCAAAGGAAGGAAACGGTCATAAATAGACTAAATAGTGGTAAAACTATTTTATTAAAAACCAACATTTCGACCCGACTTTGCAGGTCTTCTTCAGGGAGGTGTGTTCAGCTAGGAGTTTCACTTAGAACTCAATTCAGTGGAAGTCAGTTCTAAGTAAAACTATTAAAACAACGGTCAACTATTAAATATTAAATATAAATACCATGTTTTTTAAATTAAAAAATCTCTTTGCCTCTGTTCTTATTCTAAACATCGTGATTGAGACACGCAAAAATATAGTTTTTGCAAACTATGAATAGAGCTCAGGTCACATAGTTATGTGTTTTATTAATAAAAAAAAAAAATTCAAACGTTCATTATTGTTTACAAATTCATCTTAACAAATTCCCGAACAGTTAGCTTAATCAGAGAAGAAAATTTTCTTTAAAAAATCAGCATCAACTTCCTACTGCTGTAACACTCAATGAGCATAAATTCTTCACGGCCATTTGGCTGACATATTTTCATATTTAATGAATTATAATTAATATTTGATTAATAAAAATATAACTAAGATTATATATATATTGGGACTCAAATGGGGTCACCATTTATATTTGATTTGTTTTTATTTACTATGTTATTGTTGTTGATTTTTTTAAAGGATGATCTGAAAGACTTGAAGAAGCACTCTTCTGGAGTATTATCATCTGACCAGAGCAGTAAAGATGATTTAGTTAATGTAATAAATGGAGAAATGGAACCCAAAATTCAATTAGTTAATTCCTCAATACGATCTGAAGTAAAGTGGTTATCTGATGACCTACAAAAAGCTCAGGTAACAATAATACTTAGTTTGTTAATTATTTTTACAAAATTAGACAGTTATAAACTAATACATTCGAACTTCTATATATCAAACATGAAAGATCTTTGAAAAAATTTCATTTACAGAAAGATTACAATTTTTCATCTTTGTTGTATTAAAAACAATTACAGTTATTTTTTAGGATAAAAGAAGTTCCAAAAGCCTCTATTAAGGCATTACACATATAACATATCAATGCTCCTTCAGTGCTTTTTTCAATCGTTTTTGATTTTCTTCAAAACTTTCAAATGCTTTAATAACCAAATCACAGTTTTTGTAAGTTGTTAGTACCCATCTTGTCATTTCAATTTTTATGTACTATCTTCCATACTCAATGGTTTTCATTTTGAAAACAATAAAGACAAAAAAAAGTAAACTGATTTTATCATGTAAATTTTACTCAGTGTTAGGACAATGAGTACTGTATTTGCATCTTAGACAGAGTTTTCCCCAAATTTGTATTACTTAGTAAATCAGTAAAACATGTTTTTTCTTATTTAATAATTACCTGTTGTACATAAACTAAGTACCATTTTTGATGATAATTACATTTTATTTTTAAATGTGACTGTTCAATATACTGGGTGTCCTGTAAGTGAAGGTAAATATTTAAAGAGGTGATAGTAGACTTTGAGAGTTATAAACAAGTTTAAATAAACAATGGAAATTTTTATTTATGTTCTTCTCTTCGATTTTTCTCGTCTTTCTTTTGTTTATTTATTTTTGATATATTTATTAATTAATGTATTAGGTAATGATTTTATAATTAATCTTGTTTTTAATATACTATTGTACTAGATCATCTGCTGTACGTTTAATATATTGTATACAATTTCTTGTAGATGGATTTCCATGCTATAAAATGTTTTGTATTTTTTCATAGTTAAATTTTATATTATTAATTCAATAAAGCATTATTAATAATAATTAAGTTGATGTTTATTAGGGAATAAGTTGAGATTCACTTAAGTTATGTAAAAAAAATTATGTGATTTGATATCCTGTCAAATACTTGTTTTCTCAGGAACAATGAATACATTTAATTATTGCAAATCTTTAATTTTCTTCCCATGGCCTGGGCTGTATTATAATATACTTAAACGCATTATTCCTTTTTATAAAAAAAAAGAAGTTAAAAATAACGACTTTTCAAATATTTATCATCTGTAGTGATAATAAAACTATTTGTTTTGCCCTGATCTATATTTTAGGAATTGATCCCTATTTATAAATGATGAACTACATGTTTCTAATCCTAATGTTTATATTTTCATCAAAATAATTCAACCAATTAACAGGTTTCTATATTTCATTTAAATTTTTTTAGAAATGTTAATTTATATTAGTGAGCTATTACCTTAAATTGGTATTGATGTCCAATTGGCAATGAAAGGTACATTTTGATGCAATATTAAAATATTTGGAAATACAAGGAAGAAAACTACCTCCAAGCATAGAGCTTTTTTCTGAAGAAGGAACATTTATAAGTATATTTTATTTCAGAAATACCCATAATCAAGCTAATTAAAATCCTCTTGTCGCAAGACATATTTTCCAACGATGTGGAGGTTACAGAAGCTCTTGAAAAAATTGTGAGGTGCCAAGGATTGATGATGTCCCAGATGAGCTTCTGAGGTATGGAGGTGCTGGTTGAAAAGGCTCTTCATAACCTAATCTTAGGCAGTGGAAGATATAGAATGAGATGATTCCAGATGAATGGAAGAAATCCATAATTTGCCTCATTTATAATAAAGGTGGCACTCACTTATGATTGTTACAACTACCATGGCATTTCATTTCTACCCTGCGCGTACAAAGTCCTGTCAAAGATTTTGTTTAAAAGATTACTCCTGTTTGCTTTATCAGTCTGGATTCGGCATAGCCAAATCCACAACGGACTAAAGCCTTAGAACAATACTAGAGAAGGGTCGGGAATTTCATATCACGACGTACCACCTCTTCCTGGATTTTAAAGCAGCATACGACAGTATCAATCGGGAATCTGTCTATGTTGCACTCAGAGAATTCCAGATTCCCCAGAAGCTGGTGAGACTGTTAAAACTTAACATGACAGACCTGGAATATAACAGATACCGGGAGCCCGGTCTGGAAGCTTCCAGTCAATTAGAGATGTCTTTCAAGGGGATGCCTTAGCATGTCTACTGTTCAACCTAGCAATGGAAAAAGCAGTTAATGATTCAGGAATTCATACCTTAGGAACAATTTTCAACAGGTCGGTACAGCTATTGATTTGGTCTGGAGATTAATCAAGAAAAAAACCAAGTACATGGTATCCAAGCAAACCCCTATGACCAGAGAGAAATTATGGTTTGGAAACTACTTCAAAGGAGTCACCGAAATCACATGTGTGATTACATATTCCCATTACATGTTATAATGAAATGGAGTTCGAAATCAGAAGAAAGATATCCTCAAACTACAGCTACTTAGGGTTAAGACACCACTTGGCAAACAGATTCATTTTAAGGAGGATAGAGATTATTTTGTACAAAAGTTTAGTTCACCCAATTCTCACATATGGTGCAGAGACATGGACTATTACCAAGACTATGTGTCGAAGCATTTTGCTGTTTGAGAGAAAGATTCTTCAGCGGATATTTGGACCCGTCATTATTATTGGAAGGTGGAGAAGGAGGACCAACCAGGAGATTTATGATTTCTATGGTGAGGCAAACATCATATCCATTATGAAGTGAGCCAGATTAAGGTGACCAGGTTATTCTGTGAGGAAGAGTAACGAGCAGGTACCTAGGAAACTTTTTGGAGATCATTCACGGATGAGAAGGGTCGGCAGGCCAAGGCTTTCCTGGATTGACGGTACGGCAGGAGACGCAAAAAGCCTTGGAGTCCACAACTGGATAGCAGTAGTACTAGGTAGATGGTAGCGTGTTTTATTGCCACCTGAAGTAAGTAAGCTCATTATTTTAAATAATGGTTCATAAAAAAATTACAAAAAATATACCTGCCAATTGCTTAAAGTATTTTCATGAAAATGTAAATGTTAGGATTAGAAACATGCAGATTGTCACTTATAAATAAGGTTCAATCCTGTTCTGAGATCTGGGTAAGAACAACAATTCATTATCACTTTTGATGATAAAAATTTGAAAAATCATTATTATGTCTTCCTTATTCTTCCCATCATGGTCTATGCCTTTCCACCATTTTTTTAAATTAATAAAAAGTGTATTTATGCATTTGTGTTAATAATAATATATCCCAGGTCATTTTTGTTGCGAACACGGGTACTCATAGGTGACAGGATATCAAATCATATTCTTTTTACACAACTTCAGGTGAATCTAAACTTATTTCCTAATAAACATCAAAACTTAATTATTATGAACATAAACCTTATGTTAGCATCATTAGCAAGGAAGTTTACCTAAAGGTGGTTTGTCTATAGTATAGTTGAAGGGTGATAAAAGAAAATCGTGAATAATTAATGATCTTTTTAAAACAGAACTTAGCTTAGTTTAATCGCTCAAAAGTCCTCTTTAGACGGTTTTAACAATGATAAACTCTACTTCCGTACAAAGCAAATTTTTTCCTGTTTACTGTTAATTACATAAATTAAATATTTTTTTAGTTATCACTTCTTCTTCTTCTTATTCCTCCTTGTGCCTTTCAGCGTGGAGGTGCCTCAGTCCATGCCAGCCACGCATCCCGGTCTCTGGCCAGCGCCTTCGTGGCATTTACATTTAGCCCGCGTCCTATTTGCTGTCCCAACTGGGAGATGTGGTCCGTCCACGTTAACCTAGGTCTGCCCCGGGGACGTCTTCCAGTTGGCCTAGCTTCGAAGTACTTCCTTGGATCCCTATCTTCTTCCATTCGGCAAAGGTGGCCAAACCATTTCAGCTGCCTCCTCTCAACCAACTCTTTTACAGCTGAAACTCCCAGGTCCTCTCATATTGATCAGATCTCTTCTGCTTCAGCCAGCCACTCTTCTCAGGTTTCTCATTTCTGCAGCTGTTATTCGGCTCCAGAGCTTGTCCAGTGGAACCCAGCTTTTGCTTCCATAGAGAAGAGTAGGTAGGTATATTGCCTTGAAAATGTGCAGCTTCACGTGTCATCCCTCAATGTCAATGACAATGGCAATGTCATGTCATGTCATGCCATCCCTCCTTGCTGCTTTTCCGGTCTTTAGCTTTTCTATAGCCCTTTCCACATCCTCTTCCCAGATTATATCATCGTAATCTTCTTCTGGTAATAACCTATCCGCAGCTGTTTCCTCGCATTCATTGGAAAACACTTCAGCATAATGGCGGTTCTATTTCTTCAAGATTTCTTTATCTCTAGTTACTAGTAGTCCTCCTTCATCCTTTATATTCTTTATGGGCTTATTTGTCTTCCCTTTCAATGCTTGATAGTTTTCAAAAAGGTTTTTATGTTTTCTTTATAATTATTTTGGAGACTGACCAAATTCCTCCCAACTTTTCTTCTTCGCCACTTTAACTACTTTTTTGGCTTCATTCCTTCTCCTGGCATAGAGTTCCCAGTCCGCTGCACTTTTGGTCTTACAGTATGCTTTCCATGCCAGATTTTTCCTTGCAATTGCAGCTTTAACTCTCTCACTCCACCACTTTGTTCTTTTTGCTTTAGCGGAGATCGCTGCAGTTCCACATATGGTTTCCGCTGTCTCCAGGATAGCTTTTTTCATTTCTGCCCATTTGCTGTCCACATTTCTATCTATTGTGAAATTCTGGAGTTTCTGAATCAGGAGTTTGGCATACTCTATTTTCTTCTCTGGTTTATTTAACTTTGAAATATCTATTTTCTTTTGAAAATTTTTCTTAGATTGGAGGATTTGAGTGTCTCCAATCAAGAGATAATGGTCTGAACCTATTTCTGCCCTTCTTATGACTTCTATACCTCTAAAATATCTTCTGATGTTTCTGCTGTATGTAAAATAACCTATAATGCTATTTGCATTTCTTTCCTCAGCAAAAAACGAGATCTTATGGACCAGTTTATTTGGAAACATGGAGTTCCCGATTAGAAGATCATGATCTATGCAGAGTTCTTGAAGATATTGGCTCCCAATCTTCTACTTTGGCAAACAGCCTTTCAGTCATTATGATGTCAACCTCCTCCTTGGCCCTCAGTCCAGCCGCCACTCCTGAGTAAATAAGCACATAGCCTTTGTCGAGTCTTACTTCTCCTTTCCTTTCCTCCTTACATTGCCAACTCCCAGTATTTCCACCCTGTAGGCCTCACTCTCCTCTACTATTTCAATCTCTTTGCCAGTCAGAGTCTTTATGTTCCAAGTGCCGAATCTGATGTCCTTTTAAGTGCCGTGTCGTAACCGTTGTGTCTGTCCTGATCCGAGGCAACTTTGTGTGCTTTGAATCAATAATTCTCTCCTACGGGTGATTAGCCAAGCAGAAGAGGCCCCTTCCCCAGGGACAACGGGGTTCCACCGTTTATCAGGAGTTGGGATCCCTAGGTAGATTGCCTTCCCCATGGCTAAGAGCTCTACCTACCATTCGCAGTACATCAGCCTTTTGCCTGACTCCAGCTCTGCCTGATGCTTCCCGGCCATGGACTCAGTTGACTCTTACTGCTTTCGGCTCCATGCCAGTACTGGTGCTACTGCTGCCCCACACCAGGGATTTTTATCGACCTCCCGGTCTAGATCCGCTGTGTTTAATCAAATGCATGGCCACCTCGAGAAGGATGCAGTTCTTTACCGTGCATGGACGGTCTTGGGTTTTAAGTTTTAAGTATAGAGTCTCCACCTACCTGGCTTCACGAACTACTCCACTACGTCCCTGAAACTTTGTGAGGACCATTTTCCAGGTCTACGCTTGAAGAGGTACTACCCCACAAATCTCCTTGACCCCAGTTATCACTTCCTACTCAATAAAAAGTGTGACACTTAAAAAAACACAAAACGTAATTTTCCTTCTTTTCTGCTGAAAATCCTATCATGGTTTATATGGACTTTTTCGTAGCTCTTAAGGTCTGTCTACTATTACCTCTTTAAATGTTTCCTCTACTTCCATAAATACCTTATATAGGAATTTTATTTAATATGCAGAATATTTTTTTCTAATACAAATTCAAAGTTCCTAAGACATACTTGTATAGAGATTTTAGATGTATGGAAGTTCAATATATAGAGATTCAACCGTGTTTCATAAATTTAACTAAGCATATTTTTCCTAACTTGTTATATTAATATGACTAATGTATTTTGAATAAGGTAAGAAATTTTCATCAAACATCTTTGTTTTGTTATAGCTACTAAAATTAAAACCTTTGTGGTCCATTCGTGACAATCATTTTGATCGCTTTATTTTACATCATAAAAATTATACTCGTTTTGCACACTCCCTCAATATGAAGTTATACCATACAAAAAAAACTTGATTTTTACTTAAACAGTGACCTTTTATTATATAAAGATTATATAAAGAATATATTTTTTATTTCACAAGTGAAGTTGGCAAATGTAACATCTTTATAATAATAGTTCATTTCTTTTTATTTATTACATTTGTAATTTGTGAATTTTTTTTATCAAGCATTAAAGAAAATTTAATTCTGCATTCGAATACATACCTAATATTATGAATTAGATGGAAGAATATGATAAAATTTTTAGCAACTTTGCCAAAATATCCAATATAGTGACTTACAAACATGTGCACCATAAAAAAGGCTATTGTAAATTAAAATATTTTGAATACAAATTTCAGAGCATCAAATTTTCTAATCCAAATAATGTACAACCCCTTTTGTGACTCACTCTTTTACTCACATCAAATCGATCAGATTGTCTCATTCACTCCCTCATCTTTACTTATTTGAGCCGATTTAGTAGCTGACCTATAAACCTGAAAATTAGCAAATTTATTCCTTTTAGCCTGTAACCTATCAATGTTTAACTCCTAAGAAATAAATGAAAATGGTGGACCCAAGCTAAAAATAGTTAAGACCTATTTTTCATGGTCTATTATGATTAAATAGTATAGTAACAGTAACTGCTATCAACAAACAGGTTGCACCAGCAGCCATATATTTTGTGAGGTTTACATTTTTGATCCTATCAATTTTGTTGTATCTCCATCATGTATACTTTAGATGGATTTCAATTTTTATGAATAGAACACTGTCCTTTTTTTCTCCAATTTTCCAATTCTTTTCTATGCTTAATGGACACCAACAGTCCAAAAAATTTACAGCTTTAGTCCTATAACTTTTTGTTGTACTGTCCATAACTTGTATGCAACTGTAGCTATTATTATTTAGTCACAATAGATATTGAGAGACATCTTATCAATTTTAGTTTGGGTCTACCTTTTTGATTTATTTTTTCTGATACTAAACACTAAAAATTTTACTTTTTGAAATTTTCCCTTTGGCAACAGGCTAAAAACTACAAGTTTTTCAATTTTCAAATTTATAACAACTATTTAGTAGTTTAGAAGTTATATAGATGAGGGAGTGAGGTAGGCAATCTGACTGACTTGATGTAAGTCACATGAGGATTTGTGTAGTATTTGGATTTGGATTATAAGGAAAATTTGATACTCTGAAAATTTTTATTATTTTAATTAACTAATACAATTTTAATTAACTATATTGCATGTCTTATCAAAATTGATCCCATAATCTTGCATCGAATTCATAATATTATATTACATATTATGAATTTGATTTAAAATCTTATAAAGCAGCGCGAACCGATAATATTCCTACTGAACTAATTAAGGCATGCGGGGAAGCTGGAATTTCTAAAATACATCGGTTGGTTAAAAAAGATCTGGGAGAATGAGAAATTCCTGAAGAATGGAAAGAATCTATTCTTATTCCGATTCACAAAAAGGGCCCGAGGACGGATTGTAATAACTATTGAGGAATTTCACTCCTTCCAGTATGTTATAAAATATTCACTTTAATCTTAAGCAGTCGAATCACGGAATACGCCGAGGAAATTATCTGAGACTACCAATGCGAATTTAGACGGAATCGTTCGACTATTGATCAAATATTTTCTTTACGGCAAATATTAGAGAAAAAATTGGAGTACAACGGTATTGTTCACCAGCTGTATATCAGATTTTAAAAAGGCTTATGATTCTATTGACCGCCAGAAACCGTATAATATTCTAATCGAGCAGGGGATTCCAAAGAAACTAGTAAATCTAGTCAGGATGTGCTTGACGGAAACACTCAATAAAGTTAGAATCGGTAATAATCTGTCCGAAAAATTTGAGGTTCGTTCGGGTTTAAAACAGGGGGATCAATTATAGAAAAAAGTTAAAGAATTTGTGCATAACTACCATGATCTTTTTTGACATCTAGTAAAGTGACCAAAATGATATCCTGCTTTTCAACATTTATTGCTTCTGGATATCCTTGTTTTGCTGGTCTATTATAATATTTCCAAAAATATTTTTATTGTGATAGCTTTCATGACCTCTTCTTATGCTCTCTTTGCCTGAAGTCATTATCCGTTTCCCATAAATCTTTTCAGATCGGGCTAACCAACAGACTAGATCTGTGGGTTTTTCTGCAGTACAGATAGTGGATTTAAAGCCAGCTATCTACTGAAATATAGTACAGTTCTTAAGAGATCCATGGGCCTAGGACTTTTGTGTGTAGTAGAAATATGGTGCATGTATCTATTCAGAACTGTACTGTATGTTGTTAGGCAATAAGGGGATAGAAATTAATCAAGCTGATGTCTAAAAACACTGTATGTGTAGGGGTGGCTTATGAAAAATCATTGGCCTCCAAAAAAAATTGTTTGTGGATGGCCAACCACTGAGTTATAAATTTAGTATTTTATATCCTTTGAAGATTTAATTTACTGAAATAAAGTATGTTATAAGTTTTTATTTATTTTTTCAGAAAACAATCAGCAACTTGACAGATGAATCAGAGTATTTGAAAAGTTTAATCAATACTACTCTACATGATTTAAAATTACAGGGTCGTGATATTAATATATTACAAAATGATATTACAACTTATTCAAAAGAAGTATGTATTTTTATCATAATAAATTATCTACTCATTGATCTTATATAGGTTAAATTATTATCCCTTATTTTTATTAATAATTTTTATGTTTTCGTTCTTACTTATTTTTTTTGTCAGACAAGCATTTCTTTTATTTCCTTAGATATGTAGTCATGTTCTGATATCTGAAAACTGTTTCCATATTATATCTGTTGATTTTTAAACTGATGTTTTATGTGACCAATTCTGCTCTATAAGGCTTTGTTGTTCAAATATAACGGTACAATCATTCTATAATTAATTTTTTATTGGAAAGAGGTTTTTGTTATTAGCTAACATTTTAGTAACATGTGGAATAGGCCTTAATACAGCTTTAATAATAGAAGGTTAATAAGTGAATAATTTTATTCACATGTTTAGCATAACTATTTTATTTTTTTTTCGCCCTACCTGGCATTGCTGCCATACGGGGTATGTTCAGCATAACAGAGCTTCCCAAGCTTTATTACTGTTGAGTAGCTTGTCTGCTTTGTTGGACATTTTGTATAGCTAGCACTTCTGCTTTTCTGCCTCCCCCATTCTTCTCCACTTTTTATTAACTCATATTATGCTCCTAGAACTTTGCTAAAAAAAATTGATCTTCCATTCATCATCCTTGATTATTGACCTGAAGATGATGAAGATCCAAAACATCATATAAAGAGTTGTCTTGCTCAGTTTGAAAAGAATGTTCTTTAAAAGACCAAAATAACATCCAATGACAGTATCAGTTCCATGTCTTGCTTACACGCATGTGTAATTTCTCTTATTAACAAAGGATCTCAAGTTTGTGGAATTAGTTTTCTTAGATGGACTAATGAGCATATAAAGGGTATGAATGAGCAGGGTCATTGACTAAAACTCATATTATAACCACAATGAAGAATGATTAGAGAACCACAATGAATTGAGAATGCAGCCATGAGCCTCAGAACAAGTGAGAAAATCATTTATACATTGTATGGCGTCTACTGGACCTGGAATACTGAGAAAAGCCTGGGAATATTTTAGACCTGGAGGTGTCAGCGAATTATTTGAACCTGGAATAGTCCAGGAAATTTATGAAAAAGAACCCCTGAGGGAGTCAGTAAAGTTTACAAACTTGGAGACACAAATTATATTTGCAGTGATAATTCAGAATCTTATGCATTTATATACATTATTATAAATCCCTGCCTTAATTTCATTAATATTGACTTAAAGCTTATTAAACAAGGAAGTTTTTCTTAAAGTGGGGTATTTGTAATATATTTAAAAGATGATAAAAAAAAATAACGAAGAATTCATTTAATTTATTTACTGTTTCTTGATCATCGATGGCTGTACAATGATGTGACTAACTGAAATCATGCTCAAATACCAGGTTTTTCCCCTTAATTAATTATGAGTACCCACTTTATAGGAGCTGCGAGTGCTCCTCTGACCCCAGAATCAATCCACAGCTGATATTACTGAATAAATAACTGCCTGCCACAGCTGGATCGAAACCCCAAACTCTGATTATGGGAACACAGTTTCTTACTCACTGAGCTACCCTGCTTTTTTTTTTCTTCAAGGCCTTTTGGGTTCATTTATTTATTTTTGGTATTTAATCATTTGTAAATACCTTAGTTATTAACTTAGCACATTTTATGTAGCACAAACAGAAAGTATAATTTCTTTTTATTCATTGGATTGAAATAAACAAAAAATATTAGCCGCTAATGGCCGGCTTGGGTAGATATGAAATGTAATAAAAAAAACAGAAAACATGACCAGTGTGCTAAGATAACCTTAGTTCATTATAATGGTTGCCCGTGATTGTAATATGAGAAGGAATTGGTCGGGGGTGCAGTCATATAAATACTATATTGTTAGAATAGTATTTTATTCGTTACGCCGACGTTTCAACCCACTTTGTAGGTTATTGTCAGGGCGTGGTATGAGGCACCGCAGAAAGCAGTTGGTAGACTGATAGTCACACACACATACACATGTAATACACCTAACATGGTTTTTATTATTTAGCCTATCCTCATGTTTCAAAGGAGCTGTTTTACAGATTTCATTTATATTCCTTATTGGTTCATGAATTTTTGACATTTCAGATGGACCTTACTTTTTTGAGACAATTATCACTTTTTACTTTGTCTCGCTCATCTCAGGTTCTGGAATTTTTGTTCATTTTTTTTTGTAATATATATCTTTATAATAAGCTTCATTGTTTATCTTTTCAATAGGACGTCATAATAGAAATAACAGGAAATAATGATATCTATTTACAAATCAAGATCATGTACAACAATATACAGGAAAGTTAGCATCACAATATCTGCATTAATAATTAATTCAGAAAATTGAATTTTGTTATTTCTTGATGTTTATCAAACAAATGTTCAGTTTTTTATAATTCATGCTTTATTCTATGAGTTCTTTTTTTCTTCTTTTTATGCATTCCTCGTGTAAAATAAAGAACAAGTTATGCCAAATTAATTACTTTTCTTTATCTAGGACCTTTTTAATAAAACTCTTCTGTCCACAGTTTTGTTTGTGTATATTTTACATTTATATTTATGTTATTTTAGTGGGAAAAACTTTCCTTGGTTACTAAAGTTCTTGTAACAAATGTTACCAAGCTTGTAACTAGTTGTTCAAATTGTAAATATGCACACAACGAAGACTCTGTTGATAGTACTCCAATACCGTCTGCCTCTGAAATGTAAGTAGATTTTGTAATAATTTGCTACCTTAGGTTTAATTCTTTTATTAATTAATTAAAAATGTATAACGAATTCTTTATCAAGAATATTTTAATTACATTAGCTGAGGTATGTGCATTATTAAGAATCCTTGTGTGTATGCTAATGCTAAATTGTGTTCGAGAATATGAGTGTGGCTAGATATGTATTCAATAATTTATGAATAGGTGTGGCTCGATAATGTTCAAGTTTGGGAGAATTGTTTCAAATACAAATGTAAGTATGCTTGTAGGTTTTCAATTTCTTTATATGTTTGTGCATTGGTATACTAGTGCTTGTATGTGGGCTAGTCTCATTTTTTTTTTAACAATTAATTGTGGACCTGCAAGCTAGATTTATCCTCACCCTCCTCAGATGTCATTTAAAGATGATAATAAACCATTATTAAAAAAATAATAAGTAGAAAAAGCCTCATAAAAGATGGTTTATAAAATCCTTGTTCTATAACCTCTGGTTCTTGAACTCAGTACTGAAAAAGGGAGTACTGTTTCTTAGACTAACTAACTATCACTCCACTGCAACTCGGTGACGACTCTTAGCCTCCTTCACAAGCTTCCTCCAGTTATTTCTGTTCTGTGCGGCCATTATCCAGCTCCTGACTCCCAGGACATCCCTTGAATCTCTTGCCACACTGTCTGACCATCTTAGTTTTGGTCTCCCTCTTCTTCTTGAGCTGTAGAGAGGTTCTGTCAGAATCTTAGTGATTGTTTCATTCTCCATCCTTGCCACGCGGCCAGCCCATCTCGGTGTATCTTCCTTTGCTCTCCCTCCTGAGCAAATTCATGGCTGGTTTAACATAAATAAATTTTCTTCCAGCAACAAAACTAGGACATGTGCCAGAGAGTTACTAGATTAGGGTCCCAAATGTCATTTACTGTGAATCTTTTCTTCCTTGTCATATTTTATTTGAGGTTCCCCTGCTTATTACTTGGTTGTCTGTAAGGATATTTTCCACCGGCTTGCCACATGTCGCATGTGTGACTTCACAAAAAAGTATAAGGAGCTTGGATATGAAACTCTGCCACATCCGCCCTACTCTCCATACCTCTCGCCTATGGATTATCATTTTTTAGACGCCTGGACCACTACTTATGTGACAAAAAATTTAATAGACAAAGGGAATATAAAATGGGTTTTTGGAGTTTATAAATTCTGAAGACAAGAAATTCTGTTCCGAGAAAATGTAAAAGCTGCCAATACGTTGGCAGAAATGTATTGATAGTAGTAGAGACTATTTAGTCTGTGGGCCATACTCTCCATCGTGCACCCCTCCCCCCCTCACCACATCCCTATAAATTGCATATTGTTGTGTTCCTTGTAACTATTTATTAAAAACAGCCAATGTTCACTCTAAAAAAAGTTAACGCACTGCCCCAAAGATGGCGGATTGAAGACTTTGACTTTAGTTGATTTTTTGGTCACTGAGAATCAGCACTTGGCTTAATTTCCTCATGGTTGGTCTTTTATTAAAGTTGTCAGAGAATAATAAAACATGAACAAATATTAATAAATAATTTGCTTAGGCAATAAAAAACAACAGTAAAGTCAAAAGTTTTAACAAAAAAATTTTCAAGTTGAAAATAAAGCGTCGTTTGTAATTAAGCGGCCAACAATAACGCAAAATGTGGTTGAATAAATCATCTGGAGAATATATTTCTCTTTCTAAAACACTGATTACTTTTTCAAATATTTGAAGCAGTTTGGTAGAAAATGCACGTATGCGGGAGAAAAGTGGTGCCGGCATAGGTGCCTACACTTCAAGCCTCTACCACACCATTCTGTGGTGGCTTATAGCTAAATGGCTTAGTTATAGTGATATAATAACGTTTTTGGTTCATTATATTGGTTTTATTAACGAACAAATATTAATGCAATAATTTAATTGTCAGAAAAAAACTGAACAATTTTTTTTCAAATTTATTATTTTATTTTATTTTTTTGTTTAACTTACTTTATTCTATACTGAGGTCGTTTAAGTAGATATGAATTGTAAAAATGATGTAATTATAATAATAAAACTTAATTAAAAAATACTATGCTGAATTTCTTGAATTTTTTATTTAACGTTTGCAATTTAACACTTTGATTTATATATTTACTGATTCTTAGAGGTAATTTAAATTGTATATATTTTCCAGGAAATGAGTCATATCAATACCTGTTTTATAAACTAAAATAATATATACCTAATCTGAACTACATTTAATGAATAGTTGCCGGGTTGTTTAGTAAAACTTATTGTTATGAAATTGCGGGATAAATAGTTCGGAAGTGAGACCATATCATAAAAAAATAGGAAATTTTAGTATTGAATGCATTATTCCCTCTGCACAAATAAAGATGGAAAGGGCGAAACTATAAGTAACCGGAACTGATTGTTTGGATTTGGTCTCAAAATGAGGGAAAACGCAAAATTGAACCCAAAAATTGGAAAAATACATTAAGCAAACGAGAAAGGAAGTGCCAAAATCTCGGAAAAGAAAAAAGGACCAGTATCCATTATATGGCTAAACGAATGTATAGTAGACAGATGAACAGAATATTTCAAGATGCTGCTAAAAAGGAGTCAAATGCTGGAGAGGTTTGGATGATCTTAAGGGGACGATGTACTTACAGGGGAGCAAATGTTGACTCTGACTATTACCTTGTAATATCAAGAATTAGAGCCAGGATTGCCACCGTCAGGAGCCAAAGGATTGAAAGGTCCAAAAGGTGGAACATCGGAAAGCTGAAGGACCCAGAAAGCTGCCAAGCATTTCACCAGAAAATAGAAGAATTGGTGAGAGACTGGCTAAGATTAGCTGACGTCGAAAGTGTACAGGATGTCTGGGACCAACTGGAAAAGGCTTTGGACGGCGGAGCAGAACAAATCCTTGGGAAGGAGGTTCTTGAGGGTCGAGGTAAATGGTTCGACGAGGAGTGTAAGCTGGTCAATGATATGAAGAATGAAGCTTACAGAAACATGCTAAATAAGCGCTTCACCAGGAGATCCACGGAGGAATATAGAAATAAAAGAAGGCTGGAGAAGAAACTCCTCAGGAATAAGAAGAGAGCATGGAAGAGAAAGGAGCTGGAGGATATAGAGGCCCATTGGAGTGTAAAAGAAAGCAGGAAATTCTTCCAGAAGGTCAATAGTGGACGTGCCGCTTTTAAGCCTAGGATACAAACATGCAAGAAAGAAGATGGAACACTGCTTACCGATAAGTTGGATATACTGGATCGGTGGGCTAGGCACTTCCATTTGTTATTAAATGAAGAAGCGGTTATAGAAGATATAGAGGCAGGCGACATTGCTGGAGAAGATGTGCCTAACAATCTTGGAGATATCGAGCCCCCGGACTTTGAGGAAGTAATGGATGCAATCCTTCGCATGAAAAACAATAAGGGGCCAGGACTGGATGAATTGCCAGCCGAGCTCTTCAAGTATGGGGGAGATGAGTTGCACAGAGCACTGTCCGATATGGTCCTGACAATTCGGGATCAGGAAAGAGATCCACGACAGTGGACTAATGCTATAATATGTCCACTACATAAGAAAGGAGACCAACTTGATTGCACGAATTACCGTGGCATAGCTCTGTTGTCTTGTGCCTACAAAATCTTCTCAAACATCCTTTTCAGCAGACTTACCCCATTTGCGGAACGGGAAATCAGGAAATATCAAGCTGGCTTCCGAAAAGGCAGATCCACTGTTGATCAAGTGTTCACCCTTAGGACGATTTTGGAACGGAGTCATGAATATAAAATTCCTACACACTACCTGTTTGTCGACTTTAAGAGTGCATATGACAGCATCAAACGACCTAAGCTGTATGAGGCATTGGGAGAAATGGGCATCCCATGCAAACTGATACGTCTCGTGAAGTTAACAATGAAAGATGTAAAGTGTCAGGTACGGATTCAATCTGACTGCTCTGAAGCATTTCCCTCCAACAAAGGATTAAGACAGGGTGATGGACTGGCGTGTCTCCTCTTCAATTTTGCACTGGAGAAGGCTGTGCACTATTCAGGAATCCAGACTATATTCACCCGTACTGTACAGATATTGGGATACGCTGACGATTTGGATATTGTAGCCAGGACACGATCGGCATTGGTAAAGGCCTTTAAGAAACTAATGGACGCTGCTTCAGCCATGGGATTGGCCATAAAGGAGGAAAAAACGAAATACATGCATACAGGTACTGGTGGCGACGAGGAACTGAGTGTTGGCCCTTACACATTGCAAAGGGTGAACGAGTTTACATATTTGGGATCTCTGGTGACTCCAATAAACGATGTCTCTGCTGAGATATGGAAAAGGCTGGTGGCAGCAAATAGAGCATATTTTGCCTTACTGAAAACTCCGCAGCAGATCCATTACCAGGGGCATTAAACTGGTCATATACAAGACGCTTATACGCCTGGTTCTTACCTATGCTTCCCAATCCTGGACCATCTCAAGAATTGACGAAAATAATCTTCTGATTTTCGAAAGAAAAATCTTACGTCGAATAGTTGGACCAGTGAGAGATGGAGATGGATGGAGGATTAGGAGGAACCGAGAGCTTTATGACCTTTACGGAGATATGGACATTGTAAAGTTTATGAAGCTGGGGAGGCTCAGTTGGGCTGGTCATGTCGCAAGGATGAAAGCGAAAGAAATTCCTAGAAAAGTGGTGGACACCGCCCTTCATGGTACGTGATGGCCTGGTAGGCCAAGGCTTCGATGGGTTGATGGAGTGGCAGCGGACGCACGGAGCATGCTACGGATCAGAGGCTGGAGAGCGGCAGCACAAAATTGGGCCGAATGGCGGCAGCTCATTGAGGAGGCCAAGACCCACCCAGGATTGTAGCGCCACGTAGATAGATAGATAGATAAGGGGACGATGCAGGTTTATTATGGTGAAGACCATTTTATCAACAAGAAAGATTTGTTCGAAGCAATTGGCAAGTCAGGTGGTATGAACAAAGTAAACCGAACTGCTGCACTTACGAAAAGGAATCTCAGAAAAAGGAAAAGAAAATGTATAGTAGACAGATGAACAGAATATTTCAAGATACGGCTAAAGAAGGGGGTCAAATGCAGTTTGGAAGTTTGACATGATGTTAAGTTGATGATGGAGGTTTATTATGTTGAAGACCACTTTATTTTCGATTACTACTGAAGGTAGCATATTGGGACTATCTTCACTTTGAAGCAGGTTATAGAGAGGTCTATCGAGAAAGGGCAATAGCTCTCCCTCTGTTTAGTGCATTTGCAGAAGATTTTTTAAGGAATCTAAAAGGAAAACAAGCTTTTTCTGAAAGACAATTAGATATTAGCACAATCCAAAGTGTGAGGCACTAAGCAGATAGAGAGCTATTTTTCGTTCTAGATGGACTTCTCTATAATCTGCCTTATAGTGAAGAGCCCCAATTTGCAACTTCTCTTCCAATGCGTAACTTGACTCTCTCAACTATATCGCTCAGGTAATCGACAATATTTCTTATTCTAGCTTCTACGATTCTTGAGTAGAGTTTCAGTGGTACACCAAACAGGAATGAATCTGAATGGGAATTACATTTCCTTGTATCTCCTTTCTTGCAAAGGTACAAAACTACAGTCCTTTCATATCATTTTCTAATACATTTGTTGCCTACGTACGTGCAGCAGTTCGGTTTACTTTATCCAGACCACCTGACTTGCCAATTGCTCCGAACAAATCTTTCTTGCTGATAAAATGGTCTTCACAATAATAAACCTGCGTCATCCTCTTAAGATCATCCAAACTTCTCCAGCATTTCACTCCCACTCCCTTTTAGCAGCATCTTGAAATATTCTGTTCATCTGTCTACTATACATTCGTTTAGCCATATAATGGATACAGGTCCTTTTTTTCTTTTCCGAGATTTTGTCACTTCCTTTCTCGTTTGCTTAATGTATTTTTTCAATTTCGCGTTTTCCCTCATTTTGAGACCAAATCAAAACAATCAGTTCCGGTTACTTATAGTTTCGCCCTTTCCATCTTTATTTGTGCAGAGGGAATAATGCATTCAATATTAAAATTTCCTATTTTTTTATGATATGGTCTAACTTCCGAACAATTTATTCTGCAATTTCATAACAATAAGTTTCACTTAACAACCCGGCAACTATTCATTATATGTAGTTCAGATTAGATATATATTATTTTAGTTTATAAAACAGGTATTGATATGACTCATTTCCTGGAAAGTATATACAATTTAAATAACCTCTAAGAATCAGTAAATATATAAAACAAAGTGTTAAATTGCAAAAGTATTTTTTAATTAAGTTTTATTATTATAATTATATCATTTTTACAATAGATGTCTACTTAAATGACCTCAGTATAGAATAAAGTAAGTTAAATAAAAAAATAAAATAAAATAATAAATTTGAAAAAAAAAAAATTGTTCTATATTCTCCAGATGTTTTCTTTCGGCACATTTTGCGTTATTGTTGGCCGTTTAATTATAAACGACGCTTTATTTTCAACTTGACTTTACTATTGTTCTTTATTGCCTAAGCCGATTATTTTTTAATATTTGTTCATGTTTTATTATTCTCTGACTATTCAACTTTAATAAAAGACCAACCATGAGGAAATTAAGCCAAGTGCTGATTCTCAGTGACCAAAAAATTAACTAAAGTCAAAGTCGTCAATCCGCCATCTTTGGACGCCATTTTGGGGCAGTGCGTTCACTTTTTTTAATGGGAACATTGGCTTTTTTTTAATAAATAGTTACAAGAAACACAACGATATGCAACTTATAGGGATGTGGAGGGGGGAGTGCAGGATAGGGAGGTCTGGCCCACCGTGTAATTTTGATTAAATAAAACAGATGCAAATCTTTATTATTTATTTTTAAACCAAAATCCTGCATCATTTTCCGGACAACCCAATATAAATCTTTTATTTGGTTTGTGATCCAAAACATTAAATAAAAAAAATGTTGGAATTTTATTTCTGCAATTATTTTAGTTCACTATAATATTGTCTAATTTATATAATATATATTTACAAATTTTAAATATAATCTTATATATGTTATTATAAATTCTAAAATTGTGTAATTTTTTTTTCTAGGTCCAAATCATCTACAAATGAAATGGCAGATATACCTGTTTAAAATTTAATATGTGATCATAATGAGTTATGTTTATATTAAACAAAAATGTTAAAATCAAGTTTAAAATTACTCTCTTCTATATATGTTATATATATATATACATTTTTTTTTTTAATTTTTGATTGTATTAAAGTAATTTGGACAAAATTTTGTAGCGATTATAGTAGTACTTATTTATTTTGTTTTGATTTGTTCAGAGTTTAAAAAAATATTTATATTTTATTTCGTTTAAATATGATATGATTTTGTTTTAAGTGTTTATTGATTGATATTGTTGTTGTTTTATAAATTAACTATTTAAATTGTATTCTCAAATCTAAAGTAAAACTACATAGTTAAGTGGTAGTATTTATATGTTCCATTATTTTTACTTTACTTAATAATTATTTCTATCATTAATGTTAATTGTCTAGTCTTTGAATAACCATTGATAGTCACATTGGTGTATTGTATATAGCTTATTAGATTGTTGCCAACTTATAGTTGACCAATGTATTATTAAGGAAGGAGATGGTCCTGGGTGGCTGTCATAAACAGACTAAATAGTGGTAAAACTATTTTATTATTATTTTATTATAATAATAAAAGAATAGTTTAATAATATAAACATAAATAATAATAGAATAGTTTTATCACTATTTAGTCTATTTATGACCGCCACCCCGGACCATCTCCTTCCTTTATTATAATGAATGTTTTAGTTAAGGACCTTAGTCACAATATTTGTAATGTCTGTTTTTTTGTTCTATTAAATTTACTTGTTATTTAATTTTTTTTTTTGTCATATATATGAATGAATGAAAAAATAATTTTATTCTGGGACTACTGTCCTCTAAGAATAATAAGTCTTACAAATTTATGGGTATTAGTCTGGCTTAAAATAATAAAAAATACAAACTAATTAACTGCTTGTTGTTATTGCTATTGTGCAGTAGATTGAAATTAAAGAGTATACAGATACAAGTAATTTTACATATTAGCAGTAGTTTGAATGTGGAGTAGGTGGTGGAACAGGAGTTGTTTGAAGGAATTTATGGACAAGGATTGACATAGGGAGATAGGAAGAGTGTTCCAAAAGGAAATAGTACAAATGACGAAGGATTTGCTGAAGGAAGTAGTTTTATGGGAGGGGATTTATAAATCTATAGATTGAGACCTAGTACTAAGAGAGTGGATAGAGGAGCATAGAGTAAGGAGTTCCAGGATGTAGGGAGGGTTTTTGGTTCTGAGGACTTGAAAAAGGAAAACACCAAGGAGGAATTGTCGTCGGGATGTGTAAAGGAAGGATAACGACACTTCAACTCGGTGTACCAGAATGAAACATGCCAACGCCTGGGGATCCCAATGATGTATCTTATGGAACAGTTCATGAGTTTCTTCAGTCTCATTTCTAGCCTGGCAGATTGTCCTTCGTACACCAAACAGCCGCAATCAAAGTGGGGGAATATAAGGGAGGTTACAAGGAGCTTTAGAGGAATACAATCACAGAATCTTGGGAGTTGTTTAAGGACAGTTATGGATTTTCGGGTAATCTGGGAGATATGGTTATTCCAGGAGAAGTACTGGTCAAAGGTTACTCCTATGTTTTTGACTGTAGGGAAAAAATTGATGGGACTGTTATTGAGGTAAAGTTGAGGAAAGTAAGGAAGGGATCTAATGAGATTTCTGGACCCGATGAGAATTGCCTTAGTTTTATCTGCATTTAGCTTTATTCATTTATTTCTGCCCATCTGTTGATGCATTCGATATCCTCTTGTATCTTTCGGGCAGCCTCAGACATCTCAGAAGGTTGAAATGATTGGTAGATTTGGAAATCATCGGCATATAGGTGGTAATGGGAGTGTTGAATGGTGTCAGGAAGGTCACTAATATAAATAGAGAAAAGGTTCAGAAAGAGTGAGGAACACCTCGTATTAGTTGAGTGGAGATGATGGAGGTTTGTTTGGAATTACAACTGTCTGAGATCGATCAGATAAGAAGGAGAGGAACCATTTTAGGATGCTTTTTAATATGGCTTTGGAGTTATATAATTGATGGAATGAAACGCTTTGGAAAAGTCAAAAAGGATTAGGATGGAGTTTTTCTGTTTATCTATGGTGGACTGGAGGTCTTGAGTAATCCTTAGCAAGGTAGACTGGGTGGAATAAGGGGAACGGAAACCAGATTGGAAAGGATTGAGGAGATGTTTTTGCTCAAGAAAGCTGTTCAACTGAGGGTGGTGAAAATAAGTTATGGTGAAAATAATCGATGAATTCATCATAATGTGCTGGAAGGGATTGGGAGTTAATGTGACAGAATATTAAGGACTAATCTTTCTAGAGGCTTGGGTAGATTGGATAAAATGGAGATGAGTCTGAAGTCAGAAACTGATGAAGGAGTAGGAACTTTGTTCAGTGGGCGGACTATGGCTCTTTTCCAGGAGTTGGGAAAAATGAAATTTTGGAGAGAGAAATAATATATGTGTAGAAGTGCGGGAAATAAGGTTGGAAGGTAGAGTTTGATAAGTTTAACAGGTATTTGGTCAGGACCATAATCGTTTGTTTCAGATTTAAGGGTGGCAGAGAGCAGGTCAGCAGGAGAGATATGGAGAAAATAAAAATTATGGAGAAAATATGGATGGAAAATGATTAGTGAAAAAGGAATTTAGCTTGTTCAGATCGATTGGATACTGTCTGCAGGTTTTGGAGCTAACAACAGAGAGGTTCTTAAGAATTGTCCATTTGAATTTAGGGTTGTGTTCTTGGGATAAAACATTATTGAAGTATTGGTACGACGTAGGGACATTTGTGTGTGGTTTCGTAATATGGAATAATGCTGATGTAATCGAGTATGTCTGTAGCGTCTTCTAGCAGCCTCTCTTCTTGTTAGTTCTCTTATTTTAGCATTGATCCAAGGTGTGGGAGGACCTCTGAAGGTACGTGATGATTGAGAAAGTCGAGGTGGTTGGAGGCAAGGCATTCAACCATGTCATCGATGGAGGGGATAGAATAAATGGGTTCTAAGGAAGCAGAAAGGGAATCGAGAAAAGGGCTGATGTTTTCAGTGGTTAAGGAATCAAGATCTCTCCAGGAAATTTGTTAAGGTTTAGGTGTAGGTAGAGACGTTGTTTGATATTTCAATAAGATCGTGTGATGAAAGGAAGGGTACTGGAATTTGTGTAGAGGGTAATAGGTTATGAGGGGAATCAATAATAAAGAAGTCTATCCAAGTATCAGTGGATTGAGTGTGATGGGTGGGTTGAAATGGTACAATAAATAGGTCTAGAGAAAAAAATAAGTCTATAAGATATGTTCTGTCCGGAGTATTTGAAAGGATGTTGGTGTTGAGATCACCTGCAATAATAATATTTTCAAAGAGAGGAATATATGTAAGAAGAGAGGATTCAAAAGTGGGATCAAATCGGACACGAGGAGGGCGGAAAATAACGATGAAGAGTAGGGAAAAGGTACAGGAGGAAACTTGGACAAACAGATATTCTCAGCTTGGGAGGTCGGAAGAAACAGATTTTAGAAGGACTTTGGCCATCAGACTGTCATGAAAGAACAGTCCCACACCTCCTGTTCCGTCAATTCGATCATGACGAAAGAGGTTGTAGTTGGGTAAGGAAATGGATAGGGAGGGTATATCAGATTTGAGCCAAGTTTTAGAGGCAGCAATGGTATAATGGAAGTTATGGTGAAAATAATCAATGAATTCGTCATAATGTGCTGGAAGGGATTGGGAGTTAATATGACAGAATATTAAGGTATTAGTCATGAAGGGATCAAGGTAAGGACAACCTGTGGAGTGTGACAAAATGGGGTTAATATTGATGGAAAAGGCACATTGTTAAAGATACATCATGAAATGTGGTAAAAAATGATATATAATATTGTAGTAAATCTTACTTGATATTTTTAAACGAGAGTGAACATAAAAAAAAAAAGTAAAATGAGATTCAAAGTAGAAAAAAGAAGTTTCATTTTTAAAAAAATAATTGAAAAGCAATACGATAAATGAGTATGAACTATAGAAATAAAAAATGATAATAACGAGTGAGAAAAATAATGCGAAAATAAAAGGCATTCGTTGCAAAGAGATTGGAAGGAACAGTGGGACCTATTTCATTCCAGCGATTCGATGTCTTCCTTTTTGTTCACGATGATGACAGGGGATCCATCCTCTCTTCTGTATCAAACTTTTCCTCCGGCGAACCACAACATACCTGACGCCCTTTTCTGCTTTGCCAACCAGTACAAATATTTATTACCTGGGCTCATTTCTTCGCCAAGATAAATCCTCTCGTCACTGTCCCGCCCCAGATGCCTTGTGGAAAAGTCTCTCTTGGATGATGACTCGTGGATGATGTCTTCACTTACCTTCTGGCGGACGAATTGCTCGACGATTGACGGTGGCCGGGCGTCCTCTTTTCTGGAACTCTTCCTTTCTACAGAGTCTTCAACACCTAGGTCTAGGTCTTCAACACCCAGGTTTATGGCTAGAGCGGCACCAAGCCCTCGGTAGACTCTCCAGTATTGGGTGTGATACTCTTTATCTCCAGGGAATTGAATAGCTGAGCTTGTTCGGCTTGGTTAATCCTCACCGCTAGAGAACTTATCTGACATTTTATCTGATTATTTTAACTGATTAGACCATCTATAATTTTTTCTTGTTTTAATGTCAGCTCTTCAATTTTTTTAAGTCTTTCGTTATTTTCAAAAGCAAGATCGCTTTGCTTTTCGAGCGAGACTGACTTCATTAATGTCCTCGGCGATCTTTTTTACCTCAGCCAAAATAGAGGTGTTGCTCTCCTCTGACATATCCACGACCGCTGTGCCTTGTTTACTATGAGGTTTTGTACATGTCGTACAGAACCAATTTTTTTTCTATTACTGTGATACGTCGGTATCAGTGACGTTGATACATTTTTTATGATATATTAATTTGCACGTAGTGCAAACTAATGTGAATTTATCGTCTCAGGCGACGGTATTTTTGCATTTAGGACACAAAGTCATCGTGAGCAGCTGATTGACTAATGCTATAGATATGTATATATGATGCTATAGATTTAAAATCATTTATTATAATGCAAGGGGCTTATATTAAACTCACAGCATATACCATAAAATGGGTGATAAATATTTTAATTATAAAGCAGTCAGTTTTTACTTTAGTAATTACTATAGTCCTGAATATCTATCACCCATGATATGTAGGACAGTCGAATAACTTCCTTCATATACTATATGAACACAGGGTGGGGACCGACCTGGAAAAGTTAGGGATAAATTGTTAAAGCCAGGATGTTTTTAGTTCGAAAATATATACCTTTTTTCCAAATTGTAATTAATATACAGTGGATGTAGTTCATAACGACCTTAAGGGACCTGGTGAACGTTGTTGTTATAAACGTATAATTGTTATAACGACGATGCACAGTGGTTCAGAAGTGGGGGAAAACCTTAAAATGAATTTGTTCCAATCACACTTTTTATACGATATTATCTCTCATTAAAATCCCTAGAACCTAGTCCAATAACTATTTTCTCGAGTTTCC